CAAACTGACACTACTATAACTGAAACAAATAACTACACTGTTGTCCTACGAACACAGTGGGGACCACTGCAGTGGGGCCCACATCAGTGTTTTCTACAAGATCTAAACATAGAAAACCAAGAATCAAACCCCTCAGGAATGAACCCAAGAATCATACAGAATCTGCAAGCAGCATGGCTCCCTTTCTATGTTACCAGAATAGTTGTCTCGTGTTTCTTAACTGGTATACTTCAAACTTTGCCCAAACTTCTCTTCTTTGGGTTGCCCTCAAGAAGTAGGTAAATCCCTTCTGGAGTGAATGGATGTGCATAACCCCCTTCTCTCATTCAAAAATGAACATCTTGCAGTCATTGGTGGACATTGTGCAAAATAGAATAATCCGTTTAGTAAGTCTGGACCGGACCTATCACCTTTCTTAGTTGATGAGTGACTACTGAGCCCACATTGCAGAGATGTGCCACACAATAATTGGAAATTCTTTATTCTTTTTTTTTTGGTGATTGAAAAGAAAGAAAAAGATTTTCAAGTTTACAATAGTTCCAACAACAAATGAAATAACTAAGCTTAGGCATGTGGCAACAGTGCAAAAAGAAACTAATTAGTTGTTTGATTGAAATACTTACTTCCCAAAAGTTCCACAACTGATTATGCAAGCAACTCCGAAACGGTGAGGCGCAAAAGTTTGGCTGCCCATTGTAAGCCTCATAACTGACACCAATTTTATTGCATTCAAGACCATCTAATGTAAATCTCACTCTTTCCAATAGCATCCACATAGAAAAATTCCGACCCAAGTTTTGTGGTTGACCTGGGCCACCCTTCAAAATTTATCAATCTCAGAGACAAATAATTAAGTAAAACCAACCACCCTATCTCATCTACATTCTCTACAAAATAGATAGAAAATAGACAAGAATAAATAGTAAAATTCCAATACCAGTATGAGAAACACAAAATCCAATATCAGATATATACATACACAACCAATCAACTGGTATCATAAAAGTGGTAACCAATCACATCAAAGTTCAAGAGGGGTTCTGATTGGTCAAAGTTCAGCCAGTATCTTCCATCACACACACACACATACAGACTTCAAGTTGCATCGAATTCTCCTTTATACACTCATTTCTAGTTGATCTCTTGATAGTTTTGCCATTCATCTATCTCCTAATCCTCGTCTCTATTGTACTCATTTTAAAGATGTGTTCTTATTGATTGCCCAATAATAGATACCTTTTTATCAAAAATAAATACCTTATAAAACTTACACTTCAGTTCTAATGTAAGTGCTAATCGTGTTACACTAATGAGGATAATTTTAGGTAAATCTTTCATTCCAAAACCGACTCCAAATGAAACCATTGAATAGACTATTATTATTAGTGAACAATTCTCAAAGTCTCAAGACAAACTAAAATGCATTTCATGCTGATCCAATGAGTATTGAATCCAAGACATTTTTTTCTTTTGTTCTGCCACACTATCTCCTATGTTCCTGGTAGGAACCCCCTACCACGGTAGCCTCTTCGAGGGTGACTCGCCTCCTAAGAACAGAGAAAATAGAGGAAGAAGAAAGTTTTCTATTCATTTCCTTGTTACAGAATCGGGAGCCCTTTTATACTGGCTCAGATGGTTCATCATGAGAATCAGATATTCCCATGTGTAGATGTAACTCTCTGGAATCGGATCTGCTGCCATGGCTACTGGTCCCCTCAGTCTTCTAACGAACTGTTGCATGATGGGTGGCTTTGCACCTGGACTGTTGTGGGCTTTGGGGCCTAGGCATAGGTAGGCTGAAGTGGTCACAACAACTCCCCCCTCCTTAAGGTTAACCTTGCCCTCAAGGTCCAAGTTAGGGAACCTGTCTTGAAGCTGCAGGTATGGCTCCCATGTGGCATCTTCTAGTGTTAAGATCCATTTGTCCCATGTTGGTAGTATGGGGTGCTAATGCGAGGTATCCCACATCGGTAGTATGGGATGCTGTTATTGGGTATATATGTGCTCGGGTTCCCACACTCTACCAGCTAGCTTTTAGGGGTGAGTTCTCCCAAGGCACATAACAAATGGTATCAGAGCCTACACTTTGCCTCCCAGTTGCAATCATGCGGCGCAGGTGGTGATGTCAGTATTGCAGTGTTTGGCCGGGACTAGGTGGACTAGTGCAAAGCCAGCCTGCGTGAGCGCCGGGACTGCAGAGCATGGTGGAATGTTAAGATCCATTTGTCTCATGTTGGTAGTATGGGATGCTAATGTGAGGTATCCCACATCGATAGTATGGGATGCTGTTATGGGGTATATATGTGCTTGGGTTCCCTCCCTCTAACAGCTAGCTTTTAGGGGTGATTTCTCCTAAGGCACATAAAATCTAGTGGCAGACCAGCCCATTCAACCTTTGCTTTTGGGATCACTTGATGTCCTCGGTGTAACCACCTGAAGTCAACTATGCGTGTGGGCTCAGTTTCCAGATCCCCTTCTTCTGTGAAATAGGGAAGGGTGGCAACAACATTGGTGAGGGGGCCTAAGACCTTCTTGAGGAGGGAAACATGGAACACAGGGTGGAGCTTGGTCGTAGCAGGGAGCTCGAGCTAATAGGCTACAAAGCCATGTTTATGCCAAGCCCAATGAGCTACTAAGACTTGCCTATAGGGCTGCAGCTTTAGATAGACAAACTCGCCTACCTGAAATTCTACATGTCAGTGACAAGCATCATAATGGGTCTTCATCCTCAGTTGGGCCTTGGATAGATTGGCCTTGAAAATTTTTAGGAACTCATCTCGGATTGTTAATGTGGATTCTACTTCAGTAGCTTTAGTGGTTCCCAATTCATAGGGGAGTATGGGGGTTGTCACATCCATACGATGCCTTGAATGGGTCATGCCGATGGCAGGGTGATAGGTTGTATTGTACCAGTACTTGGCCCATGGGAGCCAGTGAGCCCACTGCTTGGGCCTTTCCCCTGCAAAGCAACACAGATAAGCTTCTAGGCATCTATTGAGAACCTCCATTTGCTCGTCCGTTTGCAAGTGATAGCTGGTGGAATGGAACAGCTTGGTACCCTGCAGCTGGAAATATTCCTTCCAGAAGTGACTGAGGAAGGAGGGGTCTCGATCAGAAACGGTGGACCTTGGGGTCCCATGCAGCTTGACCATGTCCTTCACGAACACTTGGCGGCAGTGTATGGTGAGGTAGAGCTGAAAAGTGTCCGTACTTCATTAGCTGGTCAACCACCACCAGAATCACTTATTTGCTGGCTGAACAAGGTAGACTTGTAATGAAGTCCATGGAGCCAGTGAGCCCACTGCTTGGGCCTTTCCCCTGCAGAGCAACACAGATAAGCTTCTATTGAGCAGCTCCAAAAGCCCAGCTAGTGATTAGGCTTGCTATTTTTTCTGTTGACACACCCCACATTCAGCAATATGCCATTGAAGATCTCGGTGCATACCTAGCCAATAATAATGGCTTCCCAAGTGTTTAAGAGTGCACAGAATTCTCGCAGAATTCCTGAATGCCCCCCCCCCCCGGCTGGAATCGTGAAAAAGCTTCAGTAGACAGGGGATATGGGTTGAATTGGGCAAAATCATGAAACGCCCCTTGAAAAACAGGTCAGGCCCAATAATAGTGTACCCACTTACCTTGTCCTGATTTTCTTGAACCTGATTTCTGATCAACTGGAGTTGGGGATCTTGCCTTGACTTTTGCCAGGTGGCTTCAAACAAAGGGTAGGTTGGTTCAGAGCAAGTGAGCTGGGCTAGTTCTTCCACTAGGGAGAGAGCATCAGCCACCCGGTTAGTGATGCCTGGCTTGTACTCAATTCGATAATCAAAGCCCATTAACTTGTTGAGCCACTACTACTACTCCAGAGTGTGGGCCCATTGCTCTAGGAGGCATTTAAGGCTCCTCTTGTCGGTTCTGATGACAAATTGCCGACCTAGCAAATAGGTCCTCCACTTTTAGACGGCTAACATGATGGCTATCAATTCCTTCACATATGTTGACTGGGCTCGGTGAGTAGAAGATAAGGCCTTGTTGGAATAGGCCAAGGGTCTTCCCTACTGCATCAGTACTGCCCCCATGCCCACACCAGAGGCGTCACATTCAAGTTCAAAAGGTTGGGAGAAGTCCGGTAGGGTCAAAATAGGTGGTGTAGTGACCATAGCCTTGAGTTCATCAAAAGCCTTCTGAGCTTCCTCATCCCATATGAATGATTCTTTCTTTAAGAGGCAGGTGAGGAGGCAAGATATGAACTTGTAACCCTAAATGAACCATCCGTAGTAGCCTGTAAGTCCTAGAAAGCCTCTCAAGGCTGTCACCATAGTGGGCTTGGGCCAATCCTAGATGGCCACCACTTTTTTTTGGGTCAGTCGTGACCCTCCCCTCATGTACTATGTGCCCCAAATAGTGGACTCTGCTCTGGCCGAAAGAGCACTTAGAGAACTTTGCATACAATTGGTTTCCCCTTAGAATTGATAATACATGTTGCAGGTGCTCTAGGTGGGCTCGCCAATCTGGGCTATAGATGAGGGTGTCATAAAAAAATACCAGCTCAAACCGTCTCAAGTAAGGTCTAAATAGCTCATTCATGATGGACTGGAAGGTGGAAGGGGCATTTGTAAGTCCAAATGGCATGACTAAGAATTCATAGTGGTCATCATGGGTTCGAAAAACAGTTTTGGGTATGTTCTCTGGGGCACTTGTACCTAATGATACCCTAAATGTAAATCCAGTTTGGTGAAAACACTCATCCAAGAGTGAAAACACTCGTCCAATAGCCTTAATGGTTATTTGGTTTAGGGTGCAATAATTCACAAAAAGCTGCCAAGATCCACCCTTCTTCTTGGCTAACAGGACAGGAGAGGAGGAGGGACTGGTGCTGGTTTGAATGTAGCCTTTGTGTAGGAGTTTTGTAATAGCCTTCTCAATTTCCAGTTTCTAAAAATAGGGGTATCTAAAGGGTCAGACATTAGTGGGGGAAGAGTCAGCGATGAGGGGAATTCTGTGGTCTTGGGCTCGGGTAGAAGGTAGTGTGCTGAGCTCGTCAAAGACATCCTTGATATGGGCCAGCAATTCCTAGAGGGCCTATTGGCGGGTGGAGTTTGGGAAGGCTTCACCAAGGTTAACAAGAGTGGAGAAGTGGGTTGTAAGCTCAAGTACATAAATAGGGGCAGGTGTGAGAATTTAGAGGCCTGAACTAGGGTGTTTATGGATGTCGGAAGCAAATTTTTGGGCTGCAGACCCTGTAAGTGGCAAGGTTCCCCACTGTTGATGAAGTCCATGGTCATATTAATCCAATTACATAGCACCAGGCCAAGGCTACGTAGCCATTGCACCCTAAGATGACATTAGCACCAGATAATTCCAAGGGGTACAAGTCTACCCAGAATTTTTGTCTCTAGAAGGAGATGGATTCCCTCTTACAGATACTATCACAGTTTATGTTATGTCCATTGGCCACATGAACTGAAAAAGGGGAAGTGGTTGGACTATCATACCAAACTGTTTGGCTATGAGGTAAGTGATAAAGTTCAATTTTGACCCACTATCAATGAGAATAACTATGGGTCTTCCCAGCAAATTGTCCATGACCCACATGGCTTGTATAGAACCTAGGCCCATCAGAGCATGGATAGGATCTCCGCTGGAATAGTTTGGAAAATCGATTTTGGTTACCTTTCCTGGAAGTGGTGTGCCACCTCTCCATCCATGATAATTTGAATCCTCCATCTCACCATCTCTCTGACTAGACTCCCATGTCTATTGTTGGGAGGCCATGGCGGACATAGTAGCCCATAGTTCCTTTAGTTCAATGACCACCTGG